CGCCCTCCAAGCCACCGCAGACAGACACAGCATCTCCATCGAACTCCACCACCTGCCAACCATGCACCCACCCCAAACCGACCCAACGGCTTCCGACATGGCCACGACACCATACGACCACGCTGCCTTCTGCATCATCGACGCCGACCTTACGACCTTCAACCGCGACCTCAACCTCAGGACGCAAGAGGCACCTTGGGGACGACTGGACCTCACACCCACGCAGCACAAAGCGGTACGACAAGACAACGACAGCATGCGGCACGTCCTACGGACCGCACAGCGGATGATGACGATGCGCACACCTACCATCATCCTGGACAGCAGCCTCCGACACCTGCAGATACAGGAATATGCATACATCACAACGACGTGCAGCACAACCCCGACCACAGCATTCACTGCTTGCAACTGTCCTGCAGACATCACTACGACAACGACACTGACGCAGGCCATAGAGCAAACACTCCAGCCCACCGCCGACGCATACACAAAGGGACAGACGTGGCACTATAATGGATATGATGGCAACGATTGCTGGATGTCAGAACGTCCAGGCGCGGTGCTCCTCGAGCCGCGACCTGGACAGTACGGTGGCCAACTGTCGGCGGAGGAGATCCAGAAGGAGCTGTCGTCTACTATGGCACATACACAGTTTGCAGGATACCCTCCCAAGAGGACTCCACCAGAGACCGCACCTCCCAGGCTGGCATCTTCGACTTCAGCATTACCTCCAGCGGCACCAACAGGAAGTATTGCATGTTCTTCAACACCCGTCGGCACGCACTGCTCACCTCCCCAGCCCACGGGGCGCTTGGGAGGTCGGCATAGTCCACCTCCCCAGCCCATGGGGCGCTTGGGAGGCAGAGGGTACCGACCGACGGGGGTCATTGAGGCTACTGGGACGGAAGTCGGTGGTGGGGCATCACTCCTGGAGACAGCGCAGCACCAGCCACGCCAGCATCACGAAGGCGTTGAGCAACTTCGTCAAGCTGGACTCCTCGAGCTGCGACCTGGACCTGGACCACCGACTCCACATGGCCAGGAGACATCCTCACAGCCCGTAACAGGGGCACATGATCGACGGCGGCAGCGACCACCACGCGATCGCCCCGAACCATCAATTGTACGGGCCCTACATCATCACGAAGGCCCCCTCGCGGAGCGAGGGGGATGAGATGAACACCTACCAGTGACTACAGGCCCGGGCGGCCCGCCGCTTTCTGGAGGCCTCAGAAGACTTCTAGTTCAGCGTGCCCGTTGGGGGTCCCGTCCTTCTCCCTTGAGGATCCCTGTGGCTCTTGAGGCCCCTCCCCCCTCTCACTGTCGGGTGCTCCCCCTCGGGCCCTGCCCCTTGCTCTCCGCCTTCCCCCGACCAGGGGGAACGGAGCCGCTTACACTACCGAGACTGGTGTCTCAGCGACGCCCCTCCACCAGCCTCCGTCACCCAAAGAGTCGCAACGCGCCGACATGTGGTACGCGACCGTCGGTTGGGTGACGGATGCTGGAACGGAGACGGGCCCTGGGCGATCCACAAGTGATCGCTTAATCTGGCCTGGCCTCCCCCCCCTCTCCTGGTCCAGGCGGCCCTTCTCCCGTGCCCCTGGTGGCCCTCGCCTTCGCTCTGTCCCCGCGCCTTCCCGTTGGCCTTCGGACCCTTGGGCTCTCGGGGCTCCCGCATTCCTTCTCTCCGAGGCCACTTAAGGCGTCTCTCTCTCTCCTGGTGGCGGGTGGCCTTGGGTTCCAGAGGCAATTTGAGGCCCCCTCCCGAGGCTCTCCGAGGAAGGGGGCCGTGCGTCGCGCCGCGCGCGGCGGCGCGGCTCGGGCTGCGGCGGACAGACCGCCTTGCCTGCAGTGTTCGAGAGGGAGGAGTAGGAGGAGGAGGAGGAGGAGGAAGATGAGGAGGAGGAGGAGGAGGAGGAGCAGACCGTCCGTCCCTTGTGCCGAGTTGAGAGGGGCCCTTGAGGTTCTCAAGAAAATTGTGGGCGATGTTGACCTTGCCGTGGACAGTGCGTGCGTGGTCAGGGCCTTTTGGAAGGGCCCAGGTCATCGGCACACTGTGAATCGCTCGGTTTGGAGAAAGTTCTGGCGTACGGCTGCAAGTAGGAATGTTTGGATGACCAAAGTCAAGTCTCACTCCAGGCCCGAGGTTGTAGGTGAAACCCTTTGGCTTGCAAATGGAGCGGCGGACGCAGCAGCAGAAGAGAACGCCCGTCAGTGTCAGGTTCCCTCGGAGTCAATTGGACGCCCCTCGAGGCCGACCGCCTCGCCTTTCAGGTTCAGCAGCACTTGTTGGCGGTGGCCCGTTCCATCGCCGTGCAAGCGCGCGGGCTCTACGGTCCTTCGTCTCGCGCTGCAAGGATAGCACAGCAGAAGGCGCGGAGGAGGGGGGCGGTGGCAGCGGAGAAGGAGGCTCGCCGCAGGACCGCCCATGCCCTCCTCCGCGACCGCCAGGGTTGGCGCTGCTTGGAGTGCGGGGCGAGGGCCGAGCGAGGGCGGGAGCTGGAGTGGCTCGGGGGGGAATGTTCGGGTAGGCTCGAGTCCCTGCGCCCGTCCACCGTCTCAATGTCACGAGGGGTGTGTTTTGGTGTGAAGTTTGTGGAAGTTGCGGGGTTCACTCTCGAAAGGGAATGGGCCCCGTTAGAGTCCAGAAGCTGACCAAGGCCTGCGAGTCCGTGACTCGGGGAGAGTAGGGGGCTCGTGTGATCAGGTCCTTGGCCGCGGGCTGTTTGCCTCCAGGCTATAAAGCCTGGCCTGACGAGTCGGGGTGACTCGTCCGATTCATTTGAATCCAATTGTTTCGTCGTCGTTTCGTTCGCCGCGCCTGACTCGAGGAGTTCGCGGTGGATTCCCGAAGAAGACGAGGAGGAGGAGGAGGAGGAGGAGGAGGAGGAGGAGGAGGAGGAGGAGGAGGAGGGGGAGGGGAGAGGAAGAGGAGGAGAGGAGGAGGAGGAGGAGGAGGAGGGGGAGGAGGAGGAGGAGGAGGAGAGGAAGAGGAGGAGGAGGAGGAAGAAAACGGGGAGGAGGAGGACGGGGAGGAGGAGGACGAGGAGGAGGAGGTGGGGGAGGAGAACTTGAGGCAATCTAGCTTTTGGGCCCCTCAATCCCGTTGGTGGGCCCAGTTCCCTGGTGTCACCACCCTGGAGGGCACGGTGGCCCGACGGAACAAAATCCTCTGGTGTGCCGCGCGCCCTGGATGAATAAATCCTCTGGCGTGCGGCGCGCCCTGGGTTACTAAATCCTCTGATGCGTTTGATTCGCGGTGCATGGTGGCACGACTGTAGATAGTGCTACCACGAACCATCACCGGATGTGACACATTCGAGGTGGGGGGCGCACAGACGACGTCCCTCCGAACCCCCAGGGTCGCATGTGGGGGCAGGATTTGCCCACTCCAGTTGTGCTTCGCACGGCCCGCACCATAACCCTCAGGCAGCCAATAAGGAGGGATCGGGCAGGCCGAAACTCAACTGCACGGTTCCCGCCAGGCATCGTGAGGCCCCGGAGTGTCCGGGCAATAGTTGCCACGGGTTGCTGTTCCGTTCGTTTTTTTCTTTTGTGTCAAACTGTGTACCTTCGACGTCCACCCGGAGAAAATCAATCGCGCCACATGATGAAGTTGTATGACAATAGTTATGGATCGTTGATTTGGCAAGTGGGAGCGACATAGATTTGGTGTTGAAGTTGCAATGAAGGTATTCAGCATCGCGACGGGTGTAGGTGCGCCAAATCTGGGGACGCACAGTGGCTGGCATTTCCACCAAACTGCGTCCAAACGGGGAAGAATCTTGATAGCGGCTCCACGTGAGAATGCGCAGGACCTCCAGCTTTTCCGCCGGGCTGTGTCCTTGAAGCGCGAAGCGTCTCCCAAGTGGGGCGAGCGTGCATAATCTGCGGGTGCACGAAATCTGGCACTGCCGCCAGCCAGTGCCCAAACAGAGACAACCTTGATTATTGGTTAAACGTGGGGGTGTGCAGGACCGCCCGGCCTTGCCGCCGTGCTGTGTCCTTGAGGGAACAGCCTCGCGACGGGTGTGGGCGTGAACGCACGATGGCTGGCATTGCCGCCGGCCTACGTCCAAAAGAGGAAAAGAGGACGAACCCTTGTAGCGGCTCGACGTGAGACGGTGCAGGACCGCTGGCCTCTCCGCCAGACAACGTCCTTGACGAAGCAGCCTCGCGACGGGGGCAGGCGTGCAGAATCTGCGGACGCACGATGGCTGGAACTGCCGCCAGCCAGCGTCCAAAACAGGACGAACCTTGGTAGCGGCTCGACGTGAGAACGTGCAGGACCGCTGGCCTTTCAGCCGGGCAACGTCGGCCCTTGAGGCATCCGCCTCGCGACGGGGGGGAGGCGCGCAGAATCAGCGAATGCTCGCAAACCGGCACCGCCGCCAGGCAACGCCCACAGGAAACAAAGTATGAAAACCACGGAGATGCGAGAGTGCAGGACCGCCGGTCTTGCCGCCCGGCTGTGTCCGTCTGGCGACCGCCTCGCGACGAAGGTACACGCGCAGCATCTGCGGAGGCACGGTAGCCAGCATTGCAGCCCCTGTTTCAGACACCAGAGGTGTGCGCCCGTGCTTGCCCATCGGCACGGATAGGCAACCAGGAAGAGGAGGAAGAGGAGGAGGAGGAGGAGGAGGAGGAGGAGGAGGAGAAGGAGAAACAGGAAGAGGGAGGAGGAGGAGGAGGAGGAGGAGGAGGAGGAGGAGGGGAGGAGGAGGAGGAGGAGGAGAAGGAAAAGCAGGAAGAGGAGGAGAAGCAGGAGGAGGCAGAGGAGCACGACGACGAGGAGGAGGACGAGACGGAAAAGGAGGAGGATACGGGAGTCTCGAGCGCACGCTGCATTGCCGAAGCGACTCTTATTTTGAGGGTCTCGGAGGACGAGGCGCGGGAGGAACAGGAGGAGCAGCAGCAGCAGTGGGAGGAACGCGAACAGCAGCGGGGGTTGGGGGGCCCGCCCGGGCGCCCCCCCCCCCCCCCCATCCTGCGGCCAGGCATGACCTCCACAACAAGTGCTCGAAGGCGGGCCTCGTCTTTAGGGGAGGGGGGGGCGGCAGCTTGTGTGAGGAGGAGCGCCCGCGCCAGGGAGAGGAGGGGGGCCTCCTCGGGAGCCGTCGTCGCCGTCGCCGCTGGAAGAGGACGAGGAGGAGGAGGAGGACCAATGTAGACCCAAGACTCACGAACGATGTTGGAATAGACCCTTCCTCCAAGCTCCCTCTTCTCAGGCCCCTGTAGGGGTTCATTTCCACTGATGGAAGTGCTTCGTTCGAGGACAAACGTTTGAAGACCCTGCAACGTGCCAAAACACCATTCCCAGGACTCCACCGCAACGAAGCAACCTGAGTATTGTGGTTTGACGGTCCTGAATCGTGCCAGAACTCCGCCCCTGGCGCTTCACCCCCGCGAATCAACACAACTGTTGCGCCTTGACAGTCCTGTATCCGTCCAAAACGCCAATTCTGAGATGTTAACCATGGGAGCCCGTGAAACGGTTCACATGTTTCAAACGAGTGCGCGCGGTGCTAAGGCGAGAACCACTGCTCGAAAAGGAACCGCCCTCTACCGTCAAGCTCTTGCAAACTGTTGAGACGCATGTGCGCGGCGCT